GGGGGCATGTGGGGAGGGGTGCGAACTGCTGTAGCAGGGGCCAGACCCCACATCCAGGGGCAGATGTGAGGGGAGGGGAGGTGGGGCCAGGCAGGGCGGAGACTCACATGCTCTGGAAGAGCTGCTTGTACTGCTCGTCCCCACGGCCTCCCTCCACTTCGCTGTCCAGCTTGCGCAGGATCTCGTCCTCGAACTGCGGAGAGGGGCAGCGTGAGCCGGGCTGCGGCACTGCCGAGCTCGGGGCGCCCCGGGGGCTGCAGCAGCAGAAGCCCCTGCCCGGGGCCTGGGCCAGACTGGTGTCTAATCCTGATCTCGGCGGGGGCTAGACTAGACCCTCGCACTGCCTCCCAGCCTGTGGGTCTAGAGCCCATTCCCGGGGCTCCTGCCCATTTCCTTCTCAGCATCCCCAGCCGTGCCCCACGACAGCCTTGGGGGGTGCAGGGCCACTGCCCTGGGGAGCTCCCTGCCCTGCCCCTCAGCCGCGGGAGGCTGGGCCAGGAGACTCCGGGCAGGGCCGGTGGTGCTAACTGGGCTGACAGGTCCCCCGTTGTGAGCTCAGCTGTGAGAGGCGGGTGGGAGCGGAGCACGTCCTGCTCGGCGTAGGGCACGGACTAGCTGAGCTCTCGAGTCCCTCCGGGCCACGGTTCTCTGACAAGTGTGGCCACAAGTGGGAAAAGGGGCGGCCCAGGCCGAATGAGTCCCAAGGAAAAGGCCTGATCTAACCCTAGGGCCCCGGAGAACATGTGGAAATCAGTGACCCCAAACCGGTGTGTCGCCAACTAGGGCAAAACACGGCAAGGCTGGGCTGTTCCGCCCCCACTCGCTCCGGGGTCCCAAAACAAAAGCCATGGGGGGGAAGCGGGGGAGACACAGCCATGGGGATCCCCTCAGCCTGGCTACGGAGCAGCGCGCTAAGGGTGGCATGTAAGTCTCCAGCGAGAGCCAGCACCACCAGCACCTCCGGATGGGCTGCTTATGGGGAGGGTGGAGCTGGAGTCCCCAGGCAGGGAGGGCAAGGGGTGCTTGGGGGAGGGGCTTGGCCCTGTGGGGAAGGGAGGGCGAGGGTCACGCGCGGGGGAGGGGCACGGCCCATGTCCCCGGGAAGGGAGGGCGAGGGTCACACTCAGGGGAGGGGCACGGCCCATGTCCCCGGGAACGGAGGGCGAGGGTCACACTTGGGGGAGGGGCTCAGCCCCGCGTCCCCGGGAAGGGAGGGCAAGGGTCACGCTTGGGGGAGGGGCTCGGCCCGTGTCCCCGGGAAGGGAGGGCGAGGGTCACGCTCGGGGGAGGGGCTCGGCCC